TAAAGTAGCCTATCAAAATTAGAAGATCTAAAAATATTTAAAATTGGGGTCCTTAAAATTCACTGTCTGTGGAGAAATGGAATTAAAGTTCAAATTTAAAAGTGCCTTTGATTTGTAGGCTAACGAGGAGAGCTGCTTAATGGTTATATTTCTTAAATTTGATTCTTGGAGAAGTGTGTTAAAAACGATAGGTCCTCTTCTGGAAAAACTGTTTTTCATGTAATATGTATTGAATTTTGGTACTTTTATGTTGGCATTACTTCTTAGATTTTTCTTAGTATTCACGTCAACTTCTTCGGTGGTATCTAAGATGGATATAGGTAAAGTCTTCTTATCTATTTTGAACATCAGTTTAGCTAAATTAACTTTATATGTGGTTTCAATAGAAGACCATCGAGCTTTGCTTAGTACGTCAGACTTAGGCATATCCCATGGCCAGTTAAAAATTAATTTTGCCGCTCTACAGTGTAAAGACTCTAATGCAATTAGGCCCTCCTTATTAGTAAGGCCGCCCCAGACGGTGATACCATATATAATTGATGGGTAGATTACTTTAAAGTATAAGTCCAGTAGCATGGGTCTTGGTAAGAACAAGCTGCGCTTCAGCATGTTAAGCTTATTTGCAAAGCTGATCTTTAGTGCTTTGACATGGTAGTCCCAGTTAAGTCTATTATCAATATAGACTCCAAGCAGCCTGGTGTGTTTAACCCATCTTATACAATGATTCATCAGTATTAATGACTGTAGTGGACCAGTGAAGTTTCCTCGATGAATTAGCATGCCTTCGCATTTCTTGGGGTGAGGCAATAGTTGATTTCTTAAGTACCATAGCTCTAGTTCCTTGAGAGCAGCATTCAGTTCGGCAATAACAATGTCTACGGTGTCTCCGATACAGAACAGGGTGGTATCGTCTGCGTACATAAAAACAGTTGCATTTGTTATATTATCAGGTAGATCATTTGTGTAAAGTGCGAACAAGGTTGGACCGAGGACTGATCCCTGAGGAACGCCTGTATTAATGCGAGCAAAATCAGAGGCTGCGCCGTCAATGACTGTGAACTGTCGCCTCCCCTTTAAGTAGCTGTGAAGCCAAGCAGCCAGGTTGCCCTTGATCCCAAAGTCAATCTCGAGTTTATGCAGCAATATTTTATGCGATACACAGTCAAAGGCCTTTTGAAAATCGACAAAAACCACGCCGACAACTTTACTGTTATCAACAGCAGAGAACATAATAGCTAATTCCAATCATCAATCTCAATTAAGAAATAACAATTGAAGGATCAAGACTAAAAGTTGAAAATCCTTATTCAAGTGACTGTCCGATAGTCAGTTTTTTTAATATGAACACTTCGAGTTCTCTTGAGCTGAAGTCAATTTTCATATGATAAACTACATAACAAAGTCACTGAACCTCGAGGGTGGCTTTACAACTCTGGTACGAGTTTTCTTCACTGGAACAGTTTGTGGTGTCAAGATTGGCTTTGGTTCATGATTAGCTGAATTAGCATCTTGCTTTGAAGGCTGGTTAACACTCTTTGAAAGCTCGCTGTCACTACTTTCAATTGGTTTGGCTTGTTCAGTTGGTTGTGCAGCGGGCTTTAGAAATTCCCGATTTCGACGGAATACTTGATTGTCTGAACTGGTTTTTACTATATAGGACCTGTCTGATAGTTTCTTAATACAGGTACCTGTTTTCCAGCTTTGATTCCTCTGCAGAGGTGCCACTCTTATCTCTTGCCCAACTTGTAATTCTGGTAGGGTGCGCGATGTGCGATCATGGTACCACTTAGCCTTTTGCCTTTTCAACTTCAGCTTTGCATTCACATTTTCTGGAATCTTGGGGTACAGTAGGTTAGAAGCTGTAGGTAGTAAGGTTCTGGTGCGTCTAGACATCAATCTCTGTGCAGGGCTACTTTCTAGGGATTCTGTTGGTGTGTTGCGTTGGTCCAATAGGGCTAACCATGGATCTTTGTTGTCTTTAAGAGCTTTTCGGAATAAAGACTTGACAACTTTCACAGCAGACTCTGCCTTTCCGTTGGATCTGTGATGATGCGGGGAAGAAGATACGTGAGTAAACTCCCAATCGACTGAAAACTGATGGAACTCATGGCTTGTAAACTGAGGAGCATTGTCTGTAGCTAGTGTATCTGGAATGCCATGTCGGCTGAATTGTTCCTTAAAGAATTCAATCACGGAACTGGAAGTGTTTTCCTCCAATTTTTGTACTTCCAAGAAATCCGAATAGAAGTCAACAAGCACGATATATTCCTTGCCATGAAGTGTGAACTGGTCAGCAGCGACTCGACTCCACGGGCGGTCAGGAAGGTCATGGCTTTGCATTGGGAGCTTCTGATTCTTAGCTTGAAATTCGTTGCAAATTGAACATTGTTTGATTTGGTCCTTCACTTCTGTATTCATACCAGGCCAGAATACAGTGTCTCTAGCTTTGCGTAGGCAAGCCTCTACTCCTAAATAGCTGGAATGAATTTTGGATTTCACTTCAGGTCTCAGTAACTAGGGGATGACTACTCTCGAGCCTTTGAAAAGAACACCATTGTATACTGACAGCTTGTCGCGGTAAGACCAATACTCCCGGATCTTGATTGGTACTTGATCTTTCTGCATTGGCCATCCGGTCAAGAATGGTGGTTTTCAGTATCTGCAAGGTGTCATCGTGACTTGTGCTACGCTGCAATTGATCCAGTCTTTCTGGCGTGACCTTCAGGGCTTGCATAGGGTCCAGGCTCTCCAGCTCTAAGGAAAATACTTGAAAAGATTCTTCTGGCCTGGAGGTTTCATGCTGTGCGGCTCTAGACAAATGGTCAGCTAAGAGCATTTGGGAACCAGGTTTGTATTTAACTGTCAGGTTGAATCGTTGAAGTCTGAGAAGCATTCTTTGGAGACGGCATGGAGCTGATAGTAGAGACTTCTTAAATATTGACTCTAGAGGCTTGTGGTCAGTTTTGACTAAAATCTGCTCTCTGCGTGCTAGATATTGATTGAATCTTTCACAAGCAAAGACTATTCCCAGACATTCTTTCTCTATGGTTGCATATCTTTGCTCTGTTGGCGAGAGAGTTCTGGACGCGTAAGCGACTGGCTGTCCATTTTGAAGAAGGACTGCACCAAGGCCTTTATTACTGGCATCCGTCTGAATAGTTACTTCTTCTTCTATGCTGTAGAATTTAAGCACTGGCTGTTGAATAACCAAGCATTGAATAGTGGCAAAGGCTTCATCATGCTGTTTGGCCCAGGTGAACTTGGACTGGTCAGTAGTGAGCTCTCTTAAAGGTGCTGACACATCTGAAAGCTTTGGTAGAAATTTAGATAGATAGTTGACAAAACCAAGCAAGGTAAGAACTTCAGGCTTAGTCGTTGGCTTTGGCATGTTCTTGATGGCAGTAACTTTATCGGGATCCGGTTTCAGTCCATCCCTTGAAATTACATGGCCCATGAATTTAACTTCTGCTTGTCGAAGCTTGACTTTGTTCTTGTCGAGTTTCAGATGGACTTGTTTGGCTCGTTCAAGTAGGCGAACCACATTCTGATCATGATTAAGAAGTGCTTCCGAGTCAGTTTCACCATAACCAACAACAAGAATATCATCTCTGATAACTTTCACACCAGGCAGGTCTGCGTGGCATTCCTGTAGTCTGCTTTCAAAGACTTCTGGGGCTAAACTTATACCAAAGGGCATTCTTAAGTAATGGTATCTTCCTAGGGGTGTCCAGAAAGTTGTGAGTTTACTACTCTCTTGGTCAAGGCCAACTTGATAGAATCCATCTTTTGCATCGAAGGAACTGAATATTCTAGCTTTGTTGAGCTCTGGTAACAGTTCTTCCAACGTTGGCATTTGAAATTTGGGACGTTTTATCGCACGGTTCAGGTCTTTCGGATCCAGACAAATTCGAATCTTCTAAGGTTTGGCAACTACTACCATACTGCTGATCCACTTGGAAGGTTCCACCATTTTCTTAATAATGCCTTTCTCTTCCAACTCTAGAATCTTGTTCTAAACTTCCTTTTGTAGTGCAACTGGTACACGACGGGGAGAATGTTGTACTGGTTTAAAACTCGGGTCAACCCTAATCTTTACATCTCCAATATGTCCTAATCCACTGAAAACTTCATGATACTTGCTCAAGAGTTCTTCCTTTGACAGACATGTTTGTGGTAGGGTCTCACTTATCTGACGTACATTCTCGGGGACGCTGACATTTAGGAGGATGAGTTGCAACTTTTCACAGGTTTCAGCTGATAGCAAGGGCTTACACTTGTGTTTTATGACTTGAAACTTCAGAACCTGTTGTTTGCCATTGTGTCTGACATGCAGGTCGCACTCACCAACTGGCTTCAAAGTTGTACCGCCAAAGAGCTTCAGTTTAACTGAGGAGTTGTTCATGGGTGGGTCTCCTAACTGTGTGATAGCTGAGAGGTCGTCCAAGCCAATTATATTACATGTAGCTCCAGTGTCTAATTGACATGCCAAGGTTGTGGTGAAGTCTTCTTTAGCTGATTTGAAGAAACTGATATCTGCAAGCCACTGTTTTGCTTTAGTTTGGACTATAGACACAGTTTCCACTTGCAGACAGCTTTCGTCAGGACTGTCATCCTCATCTTCTTCGAATTGTTGAATCTTCTTTGATGACCGGCATACAGACGCAAAATGGCCCTTTTTTTGACACTGCACGTTTTCTTGAACGCGGGACACTCTGTTCTTCTTTCATGACCTTGTTTACGACCACAATACTTACAGGTCGGTTCGAAAGAACCTTCGGATTTCTTTTTTTCTAATTTTTTCTCTAAATTTGACGATCTTCCTCCATCTCTCTTCTTACTACGACTTCTATGGGGAAATTTCTTCTCGCTAAATTTCTTTACGTCTTCTGTCTTGTTGTCTCCAGCGCCTATTATCGTCTTGATTTGCTGCGAGGCGATTTCACTCGTAGTGCACATCTGTATGGCTTTCTTCAAGTCCAGGGATTTTTCTCTCAAGAGTCTCACCTTGTCACCTTGATTCTTTAAACCAATGACGAGCCTGTCCCTGATAAGCTCATCTGTTAGTGCACCGTATTCGCAGGACGCGGCTAATTTTCTCAGACGTGTGACATAACTTTGGACAGATTCTTCGCTTTGCTGCACACACGTATTAAAAACATACCGTTCGTAAACCAAATTTCTGCTAGGTTTGAAGTAGCTTTCTAAAGCTTCTAAACATTTGTCGATTTTCTTCTTATCGTCCTCTGGAAGATTTAGGTTGAGTAAGATCTGAAGACACTCTCTGCCCATCGATGAACGCAAAGTCGCTAAACGAACCGATACCTCTCGCTTATCGAGGCCTGTTGCTGTTTCATAGTCACTCCATTGCTGCTTGAAAAAATCCCAGTTGCCAGTAACGTCACCGTGACACTTCATAGGACTTGGCAGCGGAAAATTTGGAGAAATAACTTGAGGATAAATTGGGGCGGTAGGTTGAACTGTGTTAGGTGCTGCCATTGATGGCACGTCGATTTGCGCGCCCGACTCCACGTGGTCGTTATCTGACGGCATCTTGAGTTCTTTTTTCTACACTTTGAGCTCAAAATTCTCTTTGAAATTACGAATAATATAAGGAAACAGTATCAGCAAGGTACCTTCGGCGATTAATTTTCAAAAAAAAAGAATGCTCAGAAAATCCATCCCACTCCTGACACCTTGTTATGACATGTGTACTATATACTCAGTAAAAAGCAACAACTTTATTTTATGTCCAAATAAGGAAACAGGTAACGTGACAAGTGACGCATTTATCGTAACAAACATGAAGAAAACGGCACCAGTTTAAACTCATGAGACAAAGCCCACGCATTTTTTTGAGGTAAATGAACTGGTTAGACCGAAAGCTAAATAAATAAACAATGAACTGACAGTGGTGAGGGATTTAAGGGCCATGTGATAAAACAAGTTCTACCGAAGTTTATCCTCTAGTTAGCACTTCAAGCCCAAAAGGGCAATCAGAAAAATTCTCACCAAAACACAGCAACAAAATTAGATAAAACCGGAGATGATCGAGGCAAGACTATAAACGTTGTTAAGACACATGCCTACATACCAAGTACAACAAACTTGGAGAGCAAAAAGGCCAAAGAGTTGTGAGCCATGAAAATCTACCTCAACCTCCCAAAAACGAATTCGCCGAAGGTTGTAGAAAGAGCAACTCAATCCTGAAGCTGGAACATTTTTTTAAGCCTTGTGTCCTATGGGACAACAAAGAGAAAGAAGAGAAGATGTTATCTGAAGTGAATTGAAGCTTGGGGGCCACCTCGAACTTAACGTAATTTTATTTCAAAGTTGAAACTACCTTCTATTATCGTAACGAATATCTCACGATCGCCTCCACACATCACTTCGTTATTCATAGAAGTAAGACATCAACATCTTAAGACTAACCTTCAAGGTTTGTAGTCTCATGTGCACATCTTGATCGTCAGCAAATCAAATATCAAACTTCAAGTTTTCGACCTTTTTTCGCGTTTTGTTCGCACTTTGATCATTAAAATATCCTCATCAGAAGAGCCAGCAAACTCCACAAGTATCCACAGAGTTAGAAATGGTGGTAAACTTGTCATACTCTTCCATCCTTCTCCAAAAAATATCACAGAAAGGTGTTGATCGCTCAGTTGAAAACCCGCAAAAGCGCGCTGAAAATATCAAAATGGCGCCGAACGCGCCGAACAAATTTTCTTGGCGCCCGCGCAACAAAATGCCCCTCTGCTACATAAACACACTTACCTTGGTTATTTATGATTTTGTAAGACCAAAAAGCTGTTTCGGTTATTATATTACGCTTGGGTATTACTTTTTGCCGGGAGCCCAGGTTTTACTTTGTGTTTTCCCTTATCACTTTTATATGAGAAGCTGGTCACGCAATAATTGATACCAACACAAATGAATATTTACCCTGTATGAAGATTTTTGTTTATGTTGAATTGACAATGTTGCAATATGTTACTTTTGTGGTCACTAATCATTGTTTCAGTAGCAGCGTAGCAGTTCAAAGCGGGTTGTTGCTTCAACGCCATTGAAATTTATTGTGTTCTGGCAGGGGAGCAAAGCGTGATGCTCTGGGAATAAAAACTCTTAGGGGCCTTTTACATGATATCGGAATGATATTTGTTCAAGAACGAGTTCATCCCGGTTGCCACATGATACCAGAGTAAAATTATTCGAAACGAGTCATTTCTGAATGAGTTTATTGAGGTTTTCATTCCAGAACGAAACACTTATTCAGGACGACCTTTTCTACCTGTATAAAGTAAACGCGGTACGACACTCATATCTGTATGAATCCTCTTTAAGAGCGAGGGAAGCGTAGAAAAAGGACGTAAATACTTGTTTTACAAGTTAAATTATCTTGCACGTAAACGAGGTATGAAATTCATTTCGTTCCGGAACGAAACCCATTTTGGAATAATGTAAAAAGTACCTTAAGGACGGACCATCAGATTTTTGATGCAGGGGGAGGGGGGGGGGTCTTTTGCCAATTGCACTATGCGTTTTCTTCCATTAAGCCTGTGCTCGATTTTTCGGGGGCTATTGCCCAACACCCCAACACCACCCCCCCTTCAAAAGTCTAATAGTCCGTTCCTAAGATGCTATCAGGTCCTACAACTTTTTATGTGATGAAAGAATTTGGACATATATGTATTACTCGCGTTTTTTTATATATTACCGAGCGAATTTCAAGTGATAAGATGCAACAACAAAAGGATTCCTATCAAAGCGAGGTGCCATTTTCAGTCATACCTGGTCGGACACCTTGAAAACAAAGGATGACAGGCAAGCAGTTTACTGCAAATTTGACATGAAATAATTCTGATGCCTCTTTGAAGAGAAAAAAAGGCTTGAACAGTATACATCGCAAGATCTTTGGCTATGTTACAAAAGAATACTTAATGCACCAGAAGTGCACACATCGAGTTCTGGATGCACTTAAATAGTCCGTTTAACAAATGCAGACATACAGTTATTTTAATCCCTACCAAATTATGTCAAGACGAACAAAACAAAAAAAAGTACAGCAGTCCTGCCTCGAAGCAGGACAGATTTTGTCAGCTTGAAAATCTGTCAGATCAGTGCCTAAAAGTTTTTATAAGTAAATAACCAATTCACGTGAATTTTACTGCGGAAGGGCCCTTTACCACCGTGTGCTAATTACGCGTCCCGCCAGACGGCGGAAAGCATTCAAAGTGGTCAGACATTAGTATGGAAAACTCCGCCTCTGTCTGGATTTTTGGTAGCCTATTGACCAATTCCCAATCGAGGCCTAAGTCTGACGGGACGCGTAATTTTGCACAAGGTGGTAAGTAGCCAGGTTATATGAATTTTCCAGACGTCTTGCGTACTATCTGTGGTACACGCTTGCCAATTCCCTAACAGGCTTTTGGAATCGACTTAACCCTACCTTTACCGTGGCCGTACACTTCTTTAGGCACTCTACATCTACTAATGGAACCACGAATCCACCCAACACCGGTACAAAGATTTGATCTATGAGTGGGGCAAATTGTAAAATCATCGATATCTTTTGGCGTCTCGAAGATGCCGGCTCGCGACAAAATAAGATCAACTTCAGTTCCTGGATCTCCGCAAGTAACTTGAAACGTCTTTTTTACAACTACTCAAGGGAACGACCTGAGATATGCAACGTCGGTCTTCTCGATAAATATACCCAAAAGTCCCACCAGCGAACGATTTAAATGAACAGCAAATCTCCTTGTTAGCATGTAAGATGAGATGCTTATACAACAGATCAATTAGCTAAATCAGTATGAAGCTTGTCAATCGAATTGATTTTTGTAAACATTCTTTGACTTCCGCCGGCAAAGGAATCATTGATGGATCTGGACATTATAGTTTTCTGAATACAGTAATTCTTGGAAGGACTAAAGAGGTGTAATAGTTGTTAACAAGGTACAAGAAAAGTACTTGAAATTTGCATTAACCATTCTCCACTGTCCATATGTATATTGGTGAGAGGTTACAAACATTTTTCTAGGCAGGTATCGAAATACACAGGAGATTAATTTTTCTAACTGTTGTAGTACGAGCAAAATTTCAATGGCAAAAGGCCATTCACTGATGATGCAGAAACTGGCACAAGTAATATTGGTAGACTTCCATAGATTTCATGCCAGTGATCAAATTTGAGTGTTTTAACAACTTGTCTATGTGTTTACCTTTCTCTTCATGCAAACAATATAGTTTTGTCATGAGAGGGTAAATTAAATACAAATCCCCATAACGTAATAGGATATCTTGAAATAAAATCCCTCACTTGCATAATTTGAAAAGAATTTCAAATTTATTTTTACTGGGTCCCTGCTCTTTAGTCAGTAATATGGTGAAAAATTTTTGGCTTTACTGTCTGTTCTGTGGTGCACAAAATAAAATCTCTACATCAAAGTCTCACAAAACATGCCACAGAGGGCCACAAGCATTTGACGTTAACACTAAGGCAGTACTTAGTGCCTTGCATGGACACACCCAACTAAGTGCAATAACATCAACATTAAACATTCCATCTTTAAGTCATGTTTCACTCAAGACAAGAGAACATGAAATTGGAAAGGCTACAGAAACAGTTACCCACAGGAGCTATGCAAAGTTCTCAGAAATTGAAGAAGAAAATGCCTTAGAAGGTAACAGTCTTCACCAAAAAGACAGGCAATAACCACAAGTTTTGTTTACACCTAGCATATTAATCACACTTTTCTGGAAAAACCCTAAACTTGTACTTTATCAAACCATATGTCTCTGCCCTTCAAGAGGGATGACTTTTTAGCAAACAAGGCAATCACATTTGACAAGTCTTAAAGAAATAAAGATGATCTATTTTTTAGATGAAACATATGGCAGTATTCAGAAACCTGTTTTATAATAAAACAAATTTCTTTAAACACTTCCAAATATTATTCTGGACCAAGAATTCATACAAATGGTAACACCTTTGCTGCAAAACTAAATTTTCAAACAATAGCAACAGGGAACATGTACATATGACCCACCTACATGTAGATCAAATATTAATGTTACTACTGGAGGTACTGCTGATCAAAATGGTCTAATAGGAGTTGCAGTTTCATATGATATGGCCTGGAAGAGATGTAACAGTGGCCACAGTTCAAACACTGGGCATGGAGCAGTTATGGGATTGTCCACAGGAAAGATTCTTGATTTTGAGATGAGAAGTAGAACCTGCAGGATCTGTGCTAATGCTTCCAAAGAGAATCAAAAGCCAAGAAATCATGATTGTCATTAAAAATCATGTTGGTTCATCCAAAGGCATGGAGCCAGATGTTGCTGTTGACCTATTTCAGAGAGCAACAATATCCAAAATTAACTGTGTTTTTACTGGTGATGATGACACCACAACTCATGCACACATACACAAAAAAGTTCCCTATGATGTTGAAAAGCAGTCTGATGTCATTCATAAAAAATGGTCCTTGACTTCGAGGCTGTACAAGCTCAAGTCAGTAGAAAAATTTCCAGGCTGCTCCACACTTTCAACAAGTGATCAATTACTTAAGAAAATGTTTCAGCCCAAAACAAAGGTAATACAGATTCACTTCAAGCAGCCATAATAAACATTGAGCTGCATGCATTTGGGAAACATGAAAAGTGTGATGAATTATGATGTCAGTTGAAAAAGGATCTGCTAAGTTATAAATACAGTGAACTGCCATTTGGCAAGGATTGATATGGTGATGTATCAGAGGCAGCCTTTAATGCTGTTTTTGATAACAATTCAACAGATATTGTGGTTCAAAATCTAGCCCCAAGACAAATTCACAACGTTATGAAGCCTTTAATAATTCTGTGGGGTTAAAAAATTCCAAAATCAGGTTTTACAGTGGAAGTGACGGCAACGATTTTCGTGTTGCCAGTGGTGTTAGTCAGACAAATGAAGGGAGAGATTATATCAGGCAAACTTTAAGGGAAGTAGAGATGCAGCCTTATGATCACTACATTGCTCATAACAAAGCTACAGATCAAAAGTACTTAGAAGATAAAATAAGGAAATCTTCGACCTTATTCAAGAAACGATGATCACATTTACGTCATGATAAATTGAGTGCAAACAGTAGAAGTGAGGCTAAAGAAGGCACCACATACTAAACTAGTGTTGGTCTAAATTTGGACATAAAAGAAAATGATTCCATTATAAAATTACTTCAGTCAACTTTGTTTTTGCCAAAACTTAAGTTTTTAGAATACGAAAGGATGGTACTACTATTTCAAAAACGCCCAGTACAACCTAAAATTTGTTTCAACAACGTAACTAAATATCAATTTGTCGTATTCGACACAGAGACAACTCCCTTAGGTAAAGATGCAGAAATTTGTCAAATAGCTGCAATTACAAAAGGAGGAAACACCTACAAGAACCATATATTTCCAACGTGCAGCATCAGCCACTATGCATCTCGAGTAAACAAACTAACAGTCAAAATCACAAATGGCCAGAGAAAGTTATTCAAAGAAAACTCTCCTGTGAAATCAGTACCTCTAAGCGAATACCTGGTAAATTTCCTAAATTTCCTCTCCAGTGTTGGCCAAGTAGCACAACTCGTCACACTGTCTTGATCGGTCACAATCCTTCTGTTTTTATACACTCCCACGCTATTACGATGTGCTGGGCTGGATTATAAACAAACGCTTTCATCGAAACACGTTTCCTACGCAGACAGCCTTCACCTCGTCAAAACACTTACCAAAAGTGGACACATGTTGCTCAATCCAGGAGGAAAAGCGTGCAAAAGCAATCTTTCATCTGTTTTTAAGACACTTTTTGACTGATTTTCAAGCACACGATGCTTTGGTAGATATGCGTGCTCTCAGACGTGTACTTTTTGAATCCCCGCTGAAGTTGATAGATGCAGATATCATAAACAACAGTAATCTAAAGCAAGCCTCCTTCGCTTTCGAAGAAATGTTGTATTTAGACGAATGTTTCGTACGTATGCAAACTAGCAAATTTAGCCAAAATTATTAATCATTTCGAAGGCAAATGACACAGCAGCCATTAACAAACACTATTTACCCCAAAAATAAAAACAGTTTCTAGCCAAAATAAAGTTGTACTCTATGCACAGGATAACTGAAAAAACGAAATAAATAAGAAAATGCCTAACAAGACTATCCCGTGTATCTTGCGTGTTCTCTCTCGTGTACTGCTTCTGAGCATGCGCCTTTGCCTACCTTGTCGTTTCAAAATGTTTAGAAATTTAAAACTTCCGGCGCTATTATTTCCGCTTTCGCTTGGTAAAATTTTTTCATTTTTGGCATGTTGTCTTTGCTCCGTCCGCAATGTCTTGAAAGTGATTTTTAAAAAATTCTGTTATCGGGAAAAAATTCCAAAACGCGGGGGTTTTCACTAAAAAAATTTCTGACATAATTTCATTTAAGTTGGCTGTCAGGTAGAATGCATAACTCTTAAGACTGTATGCAAAATTTAAACACAATTTACCGTGGAATTTTCGAGAAAATTGAACATTTGTGTGTTTGTGGGCCTTTCTCTAAAAGCCCTTTCACGTTGCTATGGCAATGCTGATGGTAAAACTTCTACAACCAATTGATGGGGCATTATTATCTTTATTTCAGGGTGGAATTTGATGATGATCTGCTGAGCCTAACTTAACTTGTTTTTCTCCTAAGTACACTAAATAAGCAAAAAGGAAACTGTTTCAAGCCACCTTAAACTGAAAAAAGTGTATTTTCAATAGCATCCACAGTAACATCCATCACAAAGATCTTGCTATCTGGACTAGCACCAAGGTACGGGATCATTGGATCAACTGTGATACCAGCATCGAAAACAGTAAAAGAAGCAGTGTCCCTCTGCATCTTCTTAGCATATGCTGATCTAGCAAATTTCTCTTTTGTTTTACCATAAGAAATTGGTTTGACCTTTGATAAGTCTTAATTTGAGAACATTCCTTTCAACATTGCCTCAGTTGTTTTCCTCACTCTGAAATACATTTTTCCAAAGTTAGAGGCTGTAACTCTGAAGTTGTGTTATTCCAGCTATTCAGTACTCCCCTCGAAACACAGTTCTTTTTTCCTAATCCAGAGCTTCTGTTATATTTAATAAAATATGTGCATCAAAGAATGTTTTAGCATCAATATAATCAAGTCTAGTCGAGCAATAAAAGGTTGTCAGTGTTGTATACAGTCTGCTTACTTTTGGTTGGCAGGTCAGGGAAAGTACATAGTACACAAGTTCAGTTCAACTCCAGTTGTTAGATGTAAGGCATTGGTTACAAAGACAGTAAATTGGCCTGTTTTCAGTAAAAAGTCCATGAACTGCATTATCATGAGAGATGGCATTTGTCATGAACATTACCCTCATTGGTGAAAGTTGTTGGGCTGGAAAAGGAACCAGTGAGTTTGAAATTCCTAACTTAGCAAGTGTAATAGCAATGAAAGTACATACTGTGGAACCATATAGTCCTCTTAGAGTGGACTGAGATACATTATTTTCAAAAAACCACACTTTTCCAGGGGAGATGTTCAGAGTAATAATTAACCTTGCAAACCATTTGGTCACTAGAATGATTTGTAAAACCAGTGACTTGATAAGCTGAATACCGGTTTGATGTTGAGGCTATTGATAAGCTACTTGTTGAACTATATGACTGGTTTCTGCAAAAGACACTACAAGATTGTGGTAATGGAAATGTCATCAAGAACTTGGTCAATGTTTTTGTGCCATTGTTGGGACTTGTAGTACTCTGGATTTCTGTTGCTTACAGCTGGGATCTGATTATCACTCTCGTCTCTATCACCACTCTCACTACTTTCATTTGATGTTGCTGTTCTACTTGATAAGTTTGTTTCAATCACAATGGATCCCTTGCGAACTGAATTCCCAGTTTTCTGGGAATTCCTAGGAATTCTCAAAAATTCTCAATTATGCAAATGACCCTTGCAAACTGAATTCCCAGTTTTCTGGGAATTCCTAGGAATTCTCTAAAATTCCCAACTATGTAAATTAACTCTGATTTAAAAGCTTGGAATTACTGGGAATTTCTGGAAAGGGAAGAATCCAGTTTTGTGAGGACTTGGAATCCCTAGGAATTCCTAGGAACTCTCAGCTTTACAAACTACCTATAATTTAAGAAGTGTGGAACTCTTGAGAATTTCTGCGAATTGAATTTGAGGCAATTTTAATACCCTGAGGTCCACATAAATTCTAAGAAATTCTCAATATCTTGAATGTGAAAGTTTTAAGAAAAGGAGTAATTTCAGAGGCTTAAAACTTTGGCTCAATAAAAGGTATGCTATACAAAACTTACCAAGAGATATACATACATGTATATGTTTATAACTTAAAGATCATGAAATTTATTATTCAAACTAAGTTTTAGTAAATCTTTACATTCATTAATATTGATTTTCTCATGAACCAGCTGTCAGTTATGTTAAATGGAAATTGCCAATCAATCCAATGTACTCATATCCCAGATTTGCTTTCTAACCTCAAAGGACCCTTGGATTCCATGATCAAAAAATATTTTTATTGTAATGCAAATTAATGTCTCATGTTCACTGATGTGCCAAAATCATCAAACATTCATTGGCTGTTCCTTGGTACACAAGTTCCACAATAATTACATTGTTATCTACACTTAAAGACCTTTGTTAGTTATGAACATAAGTTACTTCCCTAACCTACATTACTGGTTGCCTTTGTTAGAAAACCTTGGAACAGTCAAGCTCAGTTGCCTCAAACACTGTCAGAGACTTTTTGTTGACAATATTTTTAGTAGAAATTTCATGCCTTAGACAAACAAATTCAACACCTAATTAATCTTTCTTTTTTCATGATTGTTGTTGCTATTTTTTTTCAGTTTTTTGCTCTGTTTTCGTGACTAATTTCTGTAATTTGTTTTGCTGTTTTTATTCTTACAAAACATTTTTGTAAGAGTTCCAATACAATCCAATGTGGATCATCCACACACTTTGCAAACATTTGGCATGCAGACAAGACAGAGGTAGTCAATGTTCCCTTTGAGAAAAAACACCTTTTAAATGACATATTCAATTTACTTTATTTGAAACTCTGATCTGAAAATATTTGTCAATAAGACTTGTTAGTAGTGAGAAGTACCGACCAAGTTTCCTTTCATAACTTAATTTCTTAAATGTCCTAATCACTGGATCTCCCAAAAAATATTACATCTTTTTATTTTTGGTGCAAAATACAAGTTCTTCTTTATATAAAAATGAAAATTGCAAGTCACACTTCAATAATAACAGCTCTAAAGTTTACTTGTTGTTCTTCTCTGTCTGTCAGCTATCAACAAAATTGTTTTATACTTCGGACAGTGCATAACTATTTGTAGACCAGAGTTCCAACGCACCTCTGTAATCGCATATAGTTACTTCTGTCCCTTGTACAAATGTTTCTCCTTTGTAAGACGCACTCTAATCTATTGTCACTACTGCTTTAAGTTCAATGGAAACGACTGACTGAGGAATCGAGATGGCGGTGTTGGAACATGTTGCTGAACGCTTGCTGCGGTCAAGCTTTGTAGATTTAGGTACTGGTACACTGGGATCATCTATGTATCTCTTATACTTCCTAATGTGGTATCCTTCTTTTATAAATATGAGGGTAAAAGGCGATTTGTAGTTGCATTCAAAACTGTGATTGGCTTGTGTTATTTCTCACCTTTGCCATGAACACAACTCGAGTGAGTTTCGAGTCTTTGTTTCCTCGACAACTTTCGGCCACAAATCGTGCATTTGTAATACGATCGATTCTTGTCGATTATTTCTACATAGAGTGAGCTCACATCACTATTTATATCACCAAGGTATCCATCGTCTAGAAGCAGAGAACCGGTCGGAGAGGTCAAAATAAAGTTGTGCGCTTCTCTCAACACTACAATCGGCAAGCCAGCGGATTCACTTTGCTAGCCAATTACAAGTCCTAAAAGATCCACGTGATCATGCCCGTGATCGGAAACAAAGAAGACTCCATTTGGCGCTCATCTTTGAATGTACTTTTCATCGGTTGATCGTTTTTCTCAACTGTTTTGCTTAATATAACATTTCTAAAGATAGCTTTTATTGTGGTTCAATGGGAAAACGAGAACAGCGCGAGTGTTGTAAAAGAAAAGAAAGTCGTTGGCGCCGTGGAGTTAAAAGAAGGGACAACAGTTGACATATTGACTGGTACAAACTTGAAAGTTTGTGGTGAGTAAAAATTGCGATATTCGTTACGTGATCAAAATCTTATAAAAGAATAGATGTAGCGGGTTGACTTAAGCTTACATAACGCTCGGCGCAACTGAAACTAGAATAATTCTGAGAATCGAATCGGTCACTTGTATGCCGCAGTTTCTTAAGCTTATGCTTTACTTAACAAATAGAGAAGCCTTGACTGTGCTCTGTTGTGTTGAAAAGCACTTAGGAAGCGGCTAGAGCACGAAAGAAGTGTAGGGGGAAACACGAGACGTAGTCGAGTGTTTCTCCCCACTTCTTGAGTGCTCTAGCCGCTTCCTAAGTGCTTTACAACAGAACAGAGCACAGTCAAGGCTTCTCTATTTGTTTTATAATAAATAATCCGTTAAATTCCCCAAGAATTACTTTCAATTTTCAAAACAAATCTTATTTCCAAAGCGAACAACAGTGTCGTCAGCATGCTCTATACTCTCATAAAGCACGCTACAATAAGCCAATCAGAATCCCTGTTAGAATGGTTCAAATAATCTGATTGGCTGTACAAGACTAAAGCTGTCAAAAATGTCAAACCATCAAAGTTCAAAAACCATCAAAGTTCATATTCTGCAATAGTTTACAAACTAAAATAGCTCGGCATGTCGAATTTAACACTTTTGCCTGAAGTTTTTTAGTTTTTAATACAGGATCTGAAAGTGAAATGTTCAGTGAAATTCGGCCCAATCGTGGCTCACAAAAATACGCAAGTTATTTCACATGACAAGTAGAAAACAAACTGTTCAAGGCGAGTGAATTATGAAGGAACAACAGCCGAATTCACTAAGAAATGAAGATCGCTCGGAATGACAGCGCCGTAAAACTCAGTTGCAGTGACTGATCTGGCCTTCCACTCAACGCATCGGAAGGGTAATCAGGGTAGGCTCTTATTTTTTCACTCGAAGGGTAGTCGATTTAGTTCCTGAGGCTTGCTTCATTGCGATGACCGAAGATCGCCATGATTAGCTAGCCGCGATAGTACTTAAGTCGCTCTGACACCGTCATGATTAGTATGAATTTTAACAGTTATGCCAGGTTATATTTTTCATCATTCCTGTTTTTTTCTGTTTGAAATCGAAACTTTATATTATTATACAAGTGTTAGCTGTGTTTGATTTTTATTACCGTACGTAAACTCGCAATCTAACTGAGCGTGAAAACCGTTAAAAAAACTCGGACTGTCTATCTTGTGTTATCTTTGAGGATTTTTGTCTCTGCTCACGTTACAGTAACGTAAATTACTGCGCCTGGCATTTTTGCAAACCTTTGCTCGCTTGTTCCGAAATTTCACTTTCAATTATCGAAAAAGAGCTAAAAAGAGGTCCCGGAAAAGCTCGAACATAGTACAATTTGGCAGATGGCGTGACAGCTTTAGCTCAGCTCTATGCTCTATACTCTCATAGAGCACGCTCTTTCAACCAATGACAGTCCGTGTTATATCCGAGCTTTCTTATAAAATGAAATAAACCTATCAGTAATGTTTCAAGATTCCTCTAGTCACGTTTGGGAACATTCAAGATTCATAATAGGAACTGTTACAAATCTTATCACATAAAGAAGCCCTCCTTGGTAAAAACAAAATAATGTATTCAGCCATTTTTTAGTAAAATCTATGAGAGAGATGCACTAACTCCAATATAAAAGTCACTCAATATAACAGAGATTTCTCAATTTGAGAATCCAATGAATGCCCTTTTCCTCATAGCCATCTTAAAGGCCTGGTCTGAGCTTTAAATATATATATTTAAATTTTTTTTTTTTTTCAAATTCAGATGTCATGGAACCCAGATACAAAATGGTCAAGCTTTTTGTAGACAACCTCATTCAAGGCCAACTCATTGTGAGCCCAGGAAAAAAATACAAACAGCAGCTAAGTTTGCAGTTTAGGATAACTTCATTCTAATTTATTGTTACAGTTACAACAAGATTTTAATCAAAAAATCAATTTTATTTGTCTGTAATTAACCCCTTCACTCCTAAGAGTGCTTGGTTTTCAAATATAATTTAAGATATTGTATTTTATGGAAAAGAATCAACAGATTTTATTCACAATTTGTGTCAAACCAAATTTAATGATTGATTAGGACTATTTTATATGAATAGCTGTAATTGAGGATTAATCCATATGAAGTTTTCAAGAAAAGAAAAATCAAATTCCATTCTTATATTACCACATGTTGATATTAATAATGAATCAAAAATATTTTACATGTAAGCCTTAATTAAGCTTCTAAATAAATTTCATTGAATACTTGAATTTTAGCTGGGTTTTTTTTATTTAAAGTATTTATTTTATATCATAAGCCTCAAATTTTTGCTTAAAATTCCCAGTAATTCTTAAACATTCCTAAAAATTCCCAAAAATTCCCAGAAATTCCTAGGAATTTTTTAGATTTACAGCTTTTCAAGGAAAGTCATTGGTTCTCTGAGTTGGAATTCCTAGGAATTCCAAGTCCTGTTGGCTATAAACTTGGAATTTCTGGGAATTTCTAGGAATTTCTAGGTTTTTAGAACCAGAGTTTTTATGGTTGGGAATTCCTAGGAATTCCCAGTCCGGATTTACCGTGAAAATCCACACCTTTATTCCTAGGAATTCCTAGGAAAAAATTCCTAGGAATTCCAAAAGCCATTTCGCAAGGGATGCTTTAAGTGCCCTTGGCTTACCTATATATTCTTGGAATAGTCATGAACACATGGACATATTTGATCATTACATAGTCTCAGGCACTGACTATGATACATGTGGAAACAAGGCAACCTAATTATGTCTTCTGTGTCCGTTCTCAAGAAGCATATGCTATAATCACAGTATTTTTCAGGGAAGGGTTGGCTGTCACGATATTCATTTGTAAACTTATAGGCTAGTGGTAGCACTTTATTTTCTAATGAGACATTGAAAGTTTCTAGGTGAAATTGTGGCTTTCCTTTTGGCAACCCAGCTCTTGTTTTCTCCTGCAGCATCTCCAAAGATGAAGAATATGCAATAAACTAACAAAACAAAGCAAAAAGATATGATGCTGTTGAAATGAATTCTAAAACTGTCAACAATCATTGAACATCTCAGCAGGCAGATTGAACCTAATTTTGCCTTAAGTTTTGAGATTTAGTTTTTTTTTTATGTGCATTACAATATCAAAAAGTTTTAATTTGCATAAATGCCTTTTTCATGGAGGTTTTTTATTTATTTTTCATTTTATAATGTTTTTTTTTACAACTGCAGCAAAAGTTTCAATATAGACTCAGCGGGCTTCCCAGCTATTAATTTCAGGTTTTAATGAGAGTTTGCTCCATGTACCAGTAGAATGAATTTATCAAAGAGAGATGTTGTGGTTGATGAAGAAGCAATACCAATGGCTGTTTCTTGGATCTGTTCTACATTTTAGTAATCTGTTATGTGAAACGGAAGTAGCGAGTGCCAAATTTCAACCTTCTTTTCACTTCATAGTGACAGCCATTTCGTTTTAAAGTTATAGTAGTCAGGAAAGTTAAGTTTCTTTGGTGATACAGATCATTTACCAGTAACATTGAAAATGTAGACTTGTCAAAGTCATGATGGTTCCAGATGATGAATAGTATAAGAAATTGAAACATAAAGGACTAATAATCTTCAAGCCTTCCAGATCTGAATTAACCACGCCAAACTGATGGAAGTACTTCCTCTAAAATGTGCAGAAGGTAGACATACTCAATGTCTTTACATAATTTGAATTTTTTTAGAATTTTATCTTTAATGAATAGCCAACCACACAAGCCTCCACTAATTACTAAGTTTGATTGGAAAGGCTTGGGTTTGAGAGGAAGCACACTTTTAAAAACTTTGTTGTACACTCTTTAAAAAAAGAAATGATACACTAAGATTATATTGTCCTCTGCATTAAGGCTCATGTGGAAAGGGCCTTGTTCCAGGATCAATGACACGTAGGAGATGTTGCTTTACTGGGCAATTAGTTTCTTTATGAAGTGCCAGGTGGGCCAGTCTTGAGGACAGGGAAGGGGATATTTTTTCATATAGGTTAACAGGGTTAGTCCAGTACTTTCTACAGTATGGTTGATAGCAAACTTATAGTCTTCCATGGACTTAGGGGTCTTTTCAAACTCATCTATTAAGTTACAAGTGCCTAGTTTGCAGCTAGAGCTCTTCATGTGCCAGGTAAAAATGACTCGACTCAAAATGCTTGGAGCTGATTCTGGATTTGATCTCCATGGAGCTTCGTACATGACTCAGGGACACTAGCCAAGTATGAAGAGTGTCATTCCTTCATCCTCTTGACAATTATCTTGATGTTTTCTACTGAAATTCCACTTATGCAAACTTTAGTAGTACTTCTATTACTAAGTACATTAGGGGAACAATGTCCTTGTTTTCTGGTAACTTTGGGGCTTGAATGGAGTCCTGAATATCCAATAGTGATGAAGTCATGTGAGTACCCTTACAAACTGAATTCCCAGTTTTCAAGGAATTCCTAGGAATTCTCAAAAATTCCCATCTATGCAAATATAAGCAACCAACATTTTAAGGTTGCTTTCTGGCATCTGCTCAGTGTGGATGTTGTGGATGTCATCAAGAAGAAGTAGCATGAAAATCTCACCCTATGGAAGTTAAAGAAGAGTTTTAGCTCAAATTATTGTGTTTTTGATAAGGTCATTAGGTAAACAGCAAACTGACACTTCCTCTAGTACAACCAATCAGTTCCCAGTTTCATGTATTTGATTATACTAATTAAGTTTCCTTGTCATTATTTACATTAATTGCTTCCTTCACTTTTTCAGCAAGCTGACTTGGATATTCCCTTCTAAGGGCTGTGGCATATCTATCAATGGTGTAAGGGGCAACACTAAATCCTGAGAAAAGTAATTGCAATTGGAAAGATAAAGTCTAGATGTGTGTCAGCACAAATACATTGTGGATTAACTGAAAATTGATTTGACTTTGTTATATGCAGCTTTTGAAAAATTCAATGTGACCAATCCTCACCTAGGACTGGGCCACTGTTCATTGCAGATCAAGATGCCCCATGATGGTGTAGAAATAGTCCCATGTCTTTGTTAAATGTTGAGGTTTTTTGTGACCTGCTAATGTTAAAGAGACTTTGTGAGGCTAAGATTCAGACAACTTTTTTAGACTAATATTTGAAACAATTCAAGTTTCAAATTTGTCTAAGAAACCCTAATCATTGACTCAATATTTTCCTTAAAAATTATTTCACTTTTATCCATTTTCAAACAAATGCAAATAATTGAGAATTTGAAAGTAGAGACCAAAGCAACAGCTTGTGGTCCAAAATGGAACAACACAATCTACAAGCTAACTTGGTCCAATATGGGAAACTCTTACCAAAGATGGGTAATGATGTGAAGTAGAGCTAATGTCCTTGCAATTGCATTCTTTCCTTGGAGGTCCCATCTTTGATGACAGAATTCAAGAGGATGTCAAAGAATCCATCAGCATGCTTGGCAATGAAGTTTCTCATGTGTGGGGCTGTACATGGGGGAACCTTGTTCCTCCTCATAATACTCCTAGAGAGCTGACTGAAACTGTAGTATTAGTCTTTCGAATGATCTTTCTGGCAAGAAAAATTTGTGGAGATTTCAATTTCACCATTGAGGAGAATTCATGAGGCACCAATTCCCTTAAATATGAAGGAAGCGTACTCTTGTAACAAGAGACCATCATAGTTGTGTTCAATGGTATTGAACCTCCATCAGCCTCAGTTACCTTGAAAACTATCCAGCTTTTTTGGAGCAGTAAACATCCTGTTCCACATACTATTATCCACCCTCACATTACTCTGTCATCCATCATGATATTGCCATAGTGAGTCTCTGTGATGCTCCATAAACCAAATGCCCTGTCCATTCTCCAGAAATTAAAGTATTTTCATGTTCAGTTCCTCTCATAACTTCTCAGGATGGCTTAGGAAAGCCTTACAAGAGATGCAGTCTAGTGTTAGTCTTCTGTTCCTCTACTTGTCTGCTTTCTCTATTTCTCTCATCTTTACAAACTTCCCAAAAATTTTGGAAATCAAGCAGAACTACCCTTGCAAACTGAATTCCCAGTTTTCTGGAATTCCTAGGAATTCTCGAAAATTCCTCACTATGCAACTATGCAAATAAGCTCTTGTTTGAAAAGCTTGGAATTAATGGGACTTTCTGGGAAAGGAAGACTCCAGCTTTGTGAGGACTTGGAATTTCTAGGAATTCTCAGCTTTACAAACTACCTATAAATTAAGAAGGGTGGAATTCTTGGGAATTTCTGGGAATTGAATTTGAGGCAATTTAATTACCCTGAGGTCTACATAAATTCCAAGAAATTCTCAATACCTTGAATGTAAAGGTTTGAACAAAAGGAGTAATTTCAGAGGCTTAAAAATTTGGCTCAATAAAAGGTATGCTATACAAAATTTACCTAGAGATAAACATACATGTGTATGTTTATAACTTAAAGATCATAAAATTTATTATTCAAACTAAGTTTTAGTAAATCTCTACATTAATATAAATTTTTTTCATGAAGCAGCAGTCAATTATTTTAAATGCAAATTGCCAATTAATCCAATGTACTCATATCACAGATTTGCAGTCTAACCTCAAAGGACTCTTGGATTCCATGATCATAAAAGTTTTTATTGTGATGCAAAATGTCTCATCTTCACAGATGTGCCAAAATCATCAAACAACTCATCAGCTGTTCCTTGGTATAAAACTTCCACGTGTGTAACAATAATTACATTGTTACCTACACTTTGAGAACTTTGTTAGTTATGAACATAAGTTACTTCCCTAACCTACATTACCGGTTGCCTTTGTTAGAAAACCTTGGAACAGTCAAGCTCTGCAGTTGCCTCAAACACTGTCCGAGACTTTTTGTTTACATTATTTTTAGTAGAAATTTCATGCCTTAGACAAACAAATTCAACACCTAATTAATCTTTCTTTTTTCATGGTTGTTGTTGCTGTTTTTTTTTTCAGTTTTTTGCTCTGTTTTCATGACTGATTGCTGTAATTTTGTTTTGTTGTTTTCATTCTACAAAACATTTTTTTCAGAGTTCCAATACTTATGGATCATCCACTTACTCCACAAACATTTGGCATGCAGGCGAGACAGAGGTAGTCACTGTTCCCTTTGAGAAAAAACACCCTCTAAATGACTTCTTCAATTTACTTTATTTGAAACTCTGATCTGAAAATATTTACAAAACAAGACTTGTTAATAGTGAGAAGTACAAACCGAGTTTCCTTTCATAACTTAATTTCTCAATTGTCCTAGTCACTGGATCTCTCAAAAAATATTACTTCTTTTTATTTTTGGTGCAAAATACAAGTCCTTCTTTATGTACAAATGAAAAGTGCAAGTTACACTTCAATAATATCAGCTCTAAAGTTTACATGTTGTTCTTGTCCGAGTCAGCTGTCAACAAAATTGTTTTATACTTCGGACAGTGCATAACCATTTGTGGACCAGAGTTCCAACACACCTCTGTAATCGCATATAGTTGCTTCTGTCTCTCGTACAGATGTTTCTCCTTTATGAAACGCACTTGATTCTGTTGGCACCACTGCTTTAAGTTCAGTGGAAACGACAGCCTAAGGAATCGAGGTGGCGGTGTTGGAACGTATTGCTAAACGCTTGTTACGGTCAAGCTTTGTTGATTTAGGTACTGGCACACTGAGATCATCTATTTATCTTTTATACTTCCTAACGTGGTATCCTTCTATTAAAAAAATGAGGGTAAAAGATGATTGTAATCGCATTTAAAATTGTGATTGGCTTGTGTTATTTCTCCCCTTTGCCATGAACACAACTCAAGTGAGTTTTGAGTCTTTGTTTCGGCCACAAATCGTGCATTTGTAGTATGATCGATTCTTGTCAATTATTTTTACATAGAGTGAGCTCACATCGTTATTTATATGACCGTCACCATGGATCTAAGGTATTCATCGTCCAGAAGCTGAGAACCGGTCGAAGAAGTCAGTAGAAATATATTAAAGTTCACACGGCAACAAGGTGGACAGACATAGTTTGATGCTACTCTGGTTTGCAGATTTAATGAATGTAACCGAAGAAGTTACACCCCTGATGAAGGCACTAGACAGGAGTGTCGAAACGTTGGGTCTATGAATTGTAACTTCTTCGGTTACATTCATTAAATCTGCAAACCATAGTGGCATCAAACTATGTCTGAAGTCAGTAGAAAGTTGTACACCTTTCTTGACACCGCAATCGGGCAAGCCAGCGGATTCACTTTGCTAGCCAATGACAAGTCCTAAAAGATCCACGTGATCATGCCCTTGATCGGAAACAAAGAAGACTCCATTTGGCGCTCATCTTTGAATGTACTTTTCAACGGTTAGTTGCTAGTGTGTCAAGTTACTTCTTTTCTCAACTGTTTTGCTTAACAGTTGAGAACATTTCTAAAGATAGCTTTTATTGTGGTTCAATGGGAAAACGAGAACAGCATGAGTGTTGTAAATGAAAAGAAAGTCGTTGGCGCCGTGGAGTTGAAAGAAGGGACAACAGTTGACATATTGACTAGTACAAGCAAGGGTCAAGTGGCCATTTATAAAGCTACGATTTTGAAAGTTTGTTGTGAGTAAAAATTGCGATGTTCGTAACGTGATCAAAATCTTATCGAAGAATACCAATAACGGCTTGAACTAAGCTTACATATCGCTTAGCGCAACTGAAACTCGAATAATTCTGAGAATCGAGTCGACCACTTGCATGCTGCAGTTTCTTAAGCTTATGCTTTACAGTAAAATAAATCTATCAATAAGGTTTCAAGATCACTTTAGTCACGTTTAGGAACATTCAAGATTCGTAATACAAACTGTGATTAAACAAACCCTATTACATAAAGAAGCCCTCCTTGGTAAAAACAAAATAGTGTATTCAGCCCTTTTTTAGTAAAATCTATGGGAGAGATGTACTAACTCTAATATAAAACTCATTCAATATAACAGATATTTCCCAATCCCGGTGCACTTTGTTAAATTGAGATTCCAATGAAGGTCCTTTTCCTTATAGATATCTAAGGCCTTGTCTGAGCTTTTAACATATTTACATATATATATATATATTTTTTATTTTTTTTTATTTATTTATTTTTTAATTCAGATGTCAGAATCCATATACAAAATGGACAAGCTTTTTGTAGACGACCTCATTCAAGGTCAACAGGGAAAGCTGTGAGCCCAGGAAAAAAGACAAACAGCAGCTAAGTCTGCAGTTTAGGATAACTTCAATATAATTCATTGTTATGGTTAAAACAAGATTTTAATTAAAAAATCAATTCTATTTACCTGCAATTAACCCCTTCACTCCCAAGAGTGCTAGGTCAATATTTAAGAAAAAATCTTTGAATTTCAATGAGCAGAGTCAACAAAAACAAAGAGTAAAACATGAAAGTGCTGCTTGACAGCTTACATTTGAATGTTCATACAAAAGAGTTTTATCCAAATAAGTTACAACCACATAAAATCAAGTCAAAGCCTCTCTCTGGAAGCAAAAGGGTTAAATACCATTTGTATCATCATCCAAAATTAAATGATTCATTTAAGACTATTTTAAGACAGATAGTATTTATTGCAATAAATATAATTCAAGATGTTGTATTTTATGGATGAGAATCAACAGATTTTATTCACAATTTGTGTCAAACCAAATTTAATGATTGATTAGGACTATTTCATATGAATAGCTGTAACTGAGGATTAATTTGTATGAAGTTTTCAAGAAAAAAACAATAAATCAAATTCCATCCTAATATTACTACATGTAGATGTTAATTAATATACAATCAAAAATATTTTACATGTAAACCTTAATAATTAAGCTTGTACATAAATTTCATTGAATACTTGAATTTTAGCAGGGATTTTTCAATTTTTAGTTTCTATTTTATATTAGCAGCCTCAATTTTTTGCCTAAAACTCCCAGTAACTTTTAAACATTCCTAGAAACTCCTTGGAATTTTTTAGATTTACAGCTTTTTAGGGA